CTTCAAGTATGAATTGCTGGCATGTCCTTATTCACCTCAGCTTAACCAAAAGGTCGATAGCTCTCAGCATTAGAAGATTTTTCTTTTTGCAGTCCTATCTCCTGCTCTACAACCCATTAGCTGCCTGACCTCTGTCATTCAACACCTCCAGCTGTGAAGACAGGCACAAACACCTTCCAACTTCATTTCACAAACCCACTTGGTGAATAAAGTGCTACCCTTGGCTGAAAAGTCACTAGATGACCTCTTTAACAACAAGCACAGATTCACTCTTACCTGTGTTTGGGAAAGACGATAGATACCAAGGTAAGACACAACTCCTGACCTTGAGTTTAGGGAGCCGGTCTTACCCTCTTCTATTACTGATACTCTAACAGTTCGCTGAAAGTCAAAGTCATAGTGCCCACTCTGAAACAAAGCACTTCTTTATTCAAATGTGTGTTTTGTTTGTTTTTGAGACAGTATCTGTCTCACTATAGTCCAGAATAATCTAGAATTCATTACAGAACTTACACTTGAATTAAAAGCAATCCTCCTGCCTCAGCCTCTGGAATGCCAGAACTACAGGAATGATCCAATATACCCAGCTTTTCTGGCTGTTTTTTTATTCGTGACAGGTGTCTATGTAGTTCTAGCTGTCCTGGAACTCACTCTGTAGACCAGGCTGGCCTCAAACTCAGAGCGATCTGCCTGTTTCTGCCTCCCTGAGTGCTGGGATTAAAGGTATGTGCTACAACCAACTGGCCATGCCCATCTTTTAACATAATGTTGAAAAACTATGATTTTGAAGGGTGGAAGACAAATTGGCGTCTAATGAACCAAAGCAATGAAGTCAGAGACCTAAATTCAATCCTTACATTTGGGTCTTACTCCCCTGTGATCACAGGTAAATCCCTCTCCACTGCGAGTGTTGCCACTCCCCTCCATCCACCTGCCCAGAGGTGTTCTGAGTTAGCCAAATGACCAGAGAGGCTACTGGCGATTGGTAGGTGGAAATCATGGGCATCAGATATCCTGCAATGGACTGGAGAGTCAGTTTAAAGAACCATTACACTCCAAATATAAACAGAATCTGCCATTAAGAACTGCCCTATCCTCAGTGTCTTCAAAACTGTAAGAGGCTTCGAAGTGTAGCACCCCGTTAGTCCGTGGGTACTGTGTAAATGAGAAACTCAAGCAAAAGTTTTCTGCCCAGGATAAGAACACAATCAGTCCTTGAGAAATGTCTTAACACGTGTGCACTTCCTTTTGACTTACAGGTATTTCATGGAACCCATAAACAGGTTCACCGTGTGGCACAGCAAGAAGCTTGTGCAATCATTTTCACAAAGCAGATAAAATAAGAAGGCAAGGGTTCACTTACAAAGCTTCACACTCCACCATATCCATTTAACAGAGCCATTTAAAAAACAAACAAACAAAAATTCCCAGTGAAGAGCCAACCATTCTCTCTAGAGACCTAATTTTCTGGATGCCTCTCTCAGTATCCTATCAACATACCTCTCCTAACACACCTTACATTCCTGCAGGTCCCTTGTACCATCTGCCATACCTGTTCCTATTTCTCCTATCCTCCCAAGTTCTCTACCACAGAAACATCCACAATTCATAGTCACTTAAGTCATTTAAAGTCACCTAAGTCATAAGGCCCCCACTGGGTTCTTCCGTCTCTTCTATGGGGTCCAGTCTTATGTGCCAGTCAACTGAGCTGAGCAATACAATGACAACTGTCAAAAAGAAATATTGAAATCTGGGAGGTTTGTTTGGTTTTTCAAAATAGGTTTCTCTGTATAGCTCTGGCTGTCCTAAAACTTGTTCCCTAGACCAGGCTGGCCTTGATCTCAGAGACCTGCCTGCCTCTGCCTCCCAAGTGTTGGGATAAAAGGTGTGTGCCATCATTGCTCGGGCAATTCTGCAAGTTCTTGAAAGTTCCCTGTGAAAGGTTTTAATTAATATTTTCATTTCCACATAATCTGTGCTGGCATAAGCACTTCGGAATCTGGTCGACTAACACGTTAGTTTAAACACTCAACAAAAGATGATCCTTAACCTTCTTTGATTGCTGAAAGTTTAATGAGAACACAGTAGCAGCAAACTCAATAAATAAATGATGTGTTCACGCCAGGTGAAGCCCAAGCAGCACAAAGCACACAGTGAAAACAAAGGTTGTCTTACACTCCAAACAGGAAAAGATAAAGAACTACGAAAACGTGTGGGTTATTATCGTAGAGACCTGGCAACCTCCAAAGACCCTGTGTTTATCCCAACGTATCCCACTGGCCTTTGTTTTCATTGGTAGTGAACAAACATCTGGGGATAGAGATGATGTCATAAACTTGCCTTTCATTAGTCTCGTTAATATTTACGTTTCATTTTAATTCTGCTCTTTAGAAATTGCTAAGGGGTTCTGTTCTTAAGAAGTGTGTATCCTGTTTTGCATTTGGGCATGAGTAAGCTGAGCAATAAAACACGCGACAGCCAACACAATGAGTTCAGGCAAGAGAGGAGCCTATCTACACAAGGAAAGCCAGGAAAACCATCTCATCCCAAGACACACACACACAGAAAAGCACATGTTAATAGGCCACGTACATAAAGGGGCCTGAGTGTTGTGGGCACAGGTGAAGAATAGCTATTTAAGTTTAAGCAGCTCTCCTTTTTCTGTTTCATTTTTTTTTATTTTTTAAAAAAGAAAACAAACTTTTTTATTTTACATACCAATCCCAGTTCCTACTCCCTCCCCTCCTCCCAACTCCTCCACCTCTCCCTTACCCTCTTCCCCCCCACAAACCTGCCCTCCATCCACTCCTCAGAGTAGGTAAGGCACATTGCTTTGAGGAAGGACCAAGGCTCTCCCTACTATATCTAGGCTGAGCAAGGAATACATCCAAAGAGAATGGGTTCCCAAAACGCCAGTACAAGCAGTAGGGATAAATCTTGGTGCCACTGACAATAGCCCCTCAGTCTGCCCCAGCCATGCAACTATCACCCACATTCAGAGGGACTAGTTTTGTCCTATGCTGACTCCTTCCCTGTCCGGCCAGAGTTGGTGAGCACCCATGGGCTCAGGTAGACTGTTTCAGTGACTGTCCCCATCATGGTCTTGCCCTCTTTGCTAATATTCTCACTCCTCCCACTCTTCAACTGGACTTTGGGAGCTCAGCGCAGTGCTGAGAGGGCAAGCAGCTCTCTTTAAAACTTTTATTTAACAGTAAAATAGATTGTGATCATTCAAGTTTGTCAAAAGTTGTGCCAAATCATTTCCCAAATCTTAATTAAAACTGTTATCCATGTTACAGGTAGTTTTTACTGTTTTTTTATGTGGGAGCCCTTTCCTTGGATAGCATTACATGGCTACCTACTATACTAATTCACACCACATCTACTGAACTAACTCTACTACCCTAAAACCACTACTACAAAGGTGAACCCTGCTCTAACACTAAAAGGTTTTACTGCCATAAAGAGAAACAACCAACATGTCCCTTTCTTTCTGAAACGGATCACAGTGACAAATCACGACTCTGTTCCCAATCTTGTTAACACCAGGGTTGTTCTATTACTGGGAAAAATGATACTACTGAGTGGTTCCATTTGTCTCATTACACTTTCAAAAACAGCTTTGTGTTTGTTTATATCAGTGAAAAGAAAGACTTAAGCCCATATAAAAGAGCTAAACACCCACACCAGGGATTATCTGCAATCCCCTTAACATCTGGCCTGTTCTAAAAACGATGAGGAGTGCTAGAACACGCGCAATTAAAACTGCCTCCTGAAAAGCCACAGTCCCTGCCTATGGGGTGGTGAGGAGGGTCCGAGAAGCCATAGGTGAAAAGGATCTAGGGGCTGGATTAGTCAGCCCCAGGCAGAAAGAGTTCAGAATGGAGGAGTGCCTGCCTTAAAAGGGCAAATAGGCCAGGGGAGCGGGCAGGGTTTCAGGACCAGGCTGATAGAACTGGCCTGCTGACTGCTCTCCACCACTCTCATGTGTCCGCCCTGGTGCTGGGCCTACAGCTTTCACATCACCGAAGATTGTTAGTGCTGTTACAGCCATGGCAGGAACCACAGCCCAGGTGAGACTTGTCAGATTTCAAAACCATCACCAAGGGCTGTGAAACTTCCAATCTTCCCAACCAGGACAATCGCGTCTGAACGTCCAAGGAGAATAACCAGTCAATTATCAACGGCCATTTCTTGGAAAGATGTATTTTGCTAACAGGTGATCACAATGGAAATGTTTCACAGTTAGGAAAACCAAGGCGCACAAAGGACTAACAGCAAATCACAACCCCTAAATAGTAATGGAACTAGAACCGTCAGTTGTTTCCGATCCATTTTCTTTGAAGTCTATCACCAAGTCTTTAGTGTGAGGTAAATATAGCTCTCTAGAGGGCAATCTTCCAAGGACATGGGTTACAGGTTCTTCTGGTGCAACCGAAGTTGGCCTCACTTCTCACACACAAAAAAGTTTAAAGGAGCGAGTTACCTCCCTCAGGGAGGATGAGATTTAAAAACGGGCATTTTAATGAGAGGAGTCTTTTAAAATGTCAATCTTTAAAGTAGCATGAGGCAGAGGAAAAAAGATTATGGAAAGAGGGCACGCACTAATGATTAAGCCAGCTCCAGCCCTGGTTCCCAGAATCTGAGCGCTTCAGACAGATGCCCCAAGTGAGATAGGAACGAGGAAGGGCGGCATCATTTAAACTGTAAACAAATCTGGGACGACTTCGGATTCTGGATAAGTCTTGGGAAGCTCTCCTCGCAACTCTTACGAATAACTTCGAGAAAAACTAAAGACGGCAAAGCACCCGTAGAGGGGGAGAGGCTCCCTCGGCCGAGTGGAGGGGACAGATTGGTGAGCCCCGATGGCGGCGGGAAAGGAAGCGCGCGCAGGGAACCGGCCGGGGACAAGAACTTCGCCAGATCTAAGCCACCCAGGGCGGGACCGGAGGAAACCGAGCAAAGCAAGAAGGAGCGAACAGCGCCCCCGCGGCTCCCACCTGGAGGCGCCCCGACTCGCGCTGGTCGGCTGGCCGGTCCCCGGCTTCTCCTCCTCTTCCTCTTCCTTGTCCCGGGAAGGGTTCCGCGGAGCGAAGAACCGGGAGAAGCTGTGCCAGGGGGCGCTGCCCCTCCTGCGGCCGCCGGACATGTCCCCCCGAGCGGCCGCGTCGTCCGCGGGCCCCGACGAGACGGTGGCCGCAGCCCTG